GAAAACAGTCGACCACTACCACTTCATTTAGCAACCTTGAAGGAACTGATGTCCCTTCTGAGATTCGAACACGGAATACACAGTGGTGAAGTCAGAACAATACCACTGATGTTATATATTCACGAGACTTTCATTATTTGATGATGTCAGATGTTTTAATGCAATAGGGAGGCTGCTTTTTCAACTAGTTTTGTTGCTAGTTGGCACTCAACGGCAAGGCCTAACGGCAAACTTGAAGGAACTTTTGTTCGTTTTGAAATTCTGACTCGACTTACACAGCGGTGAAACCAAACGCGTCTTCACTGATCTAATCTGACTCAAAATTGACCTCCTGTGTGACTATATTTTACACTTTGATTGAACAATTATATCTACTGTGATTTGTCTAGTCCTGACTGATGGATTTAAGTCCACATTAAATAAAGGAGAGGAAACATCATATTATATATTGGTGTTCAAAGAAAAATTCTTATATTTTGCTACTATGTGTATATAGCATGTTTAGAAGCAGTCCAAATTGTAAAGACATACTGTTAAATTGATTGTTTTTATTTCAAATATTCTTCAAAAGTTGGTAAGTCAAATAGTATTTTTCTCATGAAGTTCTTATAAAATCACTATATAATACAGAATCCTATGGAAATCATAGTGTAATTACCAACAAATTTCATTAATATCAACCATGAATCCTTTAGAAAACAGTCGACCACTACCACTTCATTTAGCAACCTTGAAGGAACTGATATCCCTTCTGAGATTGGAAATCGGAATACACAGTGGTGAAGTCAGGACGATACCACTCATCTAATACGTCTCACTCTTGGCCTCCTGTATGACTCTATTGTATACATTGATTGAACACTAGTAAATAGTGTGATTTGTCTAGTCCTGACTGAGGGAATTAAGTCAACATGAAAGAAAGGACCAGACACATCACACCAGTTAGTAGAGTTCAATCAAAAAGATTCATTATTATGTGCTTTTACCTCAGTTTAGCATGCATTAATCACAATCCGAATTGTTGGAAGCTATTGATGAGTTGATTGTTTATTTCAAATTTTCTTTAACAGAAGGTAAGCTTATTAATATCAGTAAAAAGTTTGAGCATTGTGGATTAGATTAAATAAAGTATAATTATATTTGAATAGTTTACACACAATGATAAGTTTTGTTATTGGTAATATTTCGAGCAAAATTACTGCCCGTGTTCACACCACTGTTGGAATTGTTTTATTCACACATTTATGATTTGTATTCACATATATAGTTCATTATTATTATTTTGTTCATTCATGTTTTGTGTGTGCATATGTGTGTTCAGAATTATACTCCACATTCATTCATGTGTTTGTATTTAGAATTATATCCCAAGTTCATTCATGTTTTGTGTGTGCACACACAAAACATGAATGAACAAAATAATAATAATGAACTATGTATGTGAATACAAATCATAAATGTGTGAATAAAACAATTCCAACAGTGGTGTGAACACGGGCAGTAATTTTGCTCGAAATATTACCAATAACAAAACTTATCATTGTGTGTAAACTATTCAAATATAATTATACTTTATTTAGGTAAGCTTATTATTATTTTTCTCATAAAGTCATTATAAATTCACAATATAATACAGAATCCTATGGAAATCATAGTGTAATTACCAACAAATTTCACTAATATCAACCATGAATCCTTTAGAAAACAGTCGACCACTACCACTTCATTTAGCAACCTTGAAGGAACTGATATCCCTTCTGAGATTGGAAATCGGAATACACAGTGGTGAAGTCAGGACGATACCACTGATCTAATATGTCTCACTCTTGGCCTCCTGTATGACTCTATTGTATACATTGATTGAAAACTAGTAAATAGTGTGATTTGTCTAGTCCTGACTGAGGGAATTAAGTCAACATGAAAGAAAGGACCAGACACATCACACCAGTTAGTAGAGTTCAATCAAAAAGATTCATTATTATGTGCTATTACCTCAGTTTAGCATGCATTAATCACAATCCGAATTGTTGGAAGCTATTGATGAGTTGATTGTTTATTTCAAATTTTCTTTAACAGAAGGTAAGCTTATTATTATTTTTCTCATAAAGTCATTATAAATTCACAATATAATACAGAATCCTATGGAAATCATAGTGTAATTACCAACAAATTTCATTAATATCAACCATGAATCCTTTAGAAAACAGTCGACCACTACCACTTCATTTAGCAACCTTGAAGGAACTGATATCCCTTCTGAGATTGGAAATCGGAATACACAGTGGTGAAGTCAGGACGATGCCACTAATCTTATACGTCTCACCCTTGGCCTTTTGTATGACTCTATTGTATACATTGATTGAAAACTAGTAAATAGTGTGATTTGTCTAGTCCTGACTGAGGGAATTATGTCGACGTCAAAGAGACGACCAGACACATCACAATAGTTAAAGATGTGCAATCACAAAATTTCTTTATTTTTTGCTACAACCTCTTCATAGCATGTTAAGTCGCAATCAAATTTGTCTAAATTTACTGATATGTTGATTGTTTTATTTCAAATGCCCTTCAACAGCGAGTAAGACATTTATTACTTTTCTAATAAAGTCCTTTTATATTCACAATATAATACTGAATCCTATGGAAATCATAGTGTAATAACCAACAAATTTCACTAATATCAACCATGAATCCTTTAGAAAACAGTCGACTAATACTATCTTATTTGGCACCACAATATTCACGATGAGAGCTAGTTTACTATTATATATATGTATATATATATTGTGATTCAATCTCACAGTTTTGACTTTTCAGTTCATTTATTATCGCCTGTGATTCCGCTGAATCGATGAATTACACTCAGTCGTCAAATACGTGAAAATGGTACAGAAAGTGCTGTTATTCACAACTGAATTCATTTTAATCACTAGTGAGATTTTCATTGTCAATGCAGTGTTCTGTTTGTGATTTCTCCGAATAATTTCGGTGTTATCGTAGAAATATTTAATCTTGCTGACTGCTATCTGAGTTTTCGATTTTCGTCTTCAGTTTGTTTGTGTTTTGAAAATGGCTGTAGCACTTTGTGTTTTTCTGGCAAATTAAGTTTGCGTACAACTTCGCATTCTACAAATCTTGCCTACATTTTAAATTACAATCCTAATATCGACCTCAATGTAGGCAGAGTAATTAGATGGCCGTTGTATCAGAATTTCTCCCTAATGATGAAGCTTAGAAATGAAAAACTCACCTGTCTTCATGACACCATAAGACATCAATCGAAAATGAATCCTCGTGGCTTGTGTTCAAATGACTTTCAATTCCATGGAATTACGATTTGTAAGAGTGATACATCAGTTCAAGCAAATCAGTTTGAATGAGATTACTCACTTTAAATTGCGATGCCTGATAGCACTCAGGGAATACCAGAATATTCAGGGGTGAGTGGGTGACTGGAAATCGCCTTATTGGCAACTCAAGCGTTGAATCAATTCGAACGGAGGCAATCTCTGTCTGAAGAGATGTATTTTGGAATAGTATTTGAATGAAGGTGTATGTGGATGTAATTATGGTTGGTATAGGGTCACACGCTATTTGTATTCACGAAACTTTCAATAATTGATGATGTTAGATGGTTGGAAGCAATATGAAGGCAGCTTTGGACACTGATGTAATTTCGGTCCACGCATTACTGGGTTTCGCCTAATCCACCCTGCCTTAGTATAATTCTTCTTTCCCAGAATGTAAGCATCCAAAATTTTGATTAGAACACAAAGTAGCTTGATACCGGTACAGTTATCTCATTGATAAATATCGTCCTCTGGCTGTTTCACACGGCAATTTTGTTTCAATCTACAGGCAAATTAACTTGCATCAAATTCTCTTGTGGCACTGGTGTTAGCATGGCATTGGAAATAACATTATTACGTAGGAAAATCACTAATCGATTAGTGCATGATTCGCTGATGTTGCTCATATTGCATCTCAATTTATCACAAATGTTTGCCTTATTTATCAACAGTCTCAATGTGTTTTACACGTATCAAGATCATTTGAATTTTTCTATAACGCAAATTCATTCATTCCTGCCTGTAAACATTTCCTTCTTATGTCAATTCTGTGTTTTGAATTTAATTCTATAACAAAGTACGTAAGTATTTGATGCTGTTTGTTGTATTCAAATATTTAATTCGTATGTAATAGCGTTGAAAAGATTTCTAGGATTTCCTAAATCCTCACAACTTACAATGTTTCGCAGACATTTATGTGGCTAAGAAAATATGTAATCTAGAATATGGCTTGACAACGAGCAGGTGGACTCTCAAACTTCATCACTTAGAATTGTAACTTCAAATTGAATGAGATTACTCACTTTGAGTTGCGATGCCTGATAGCACTCAGGGAATACCAGAATATTCAGGGGTGAGTGGGTGACTGGAAATCGCCTTATTGGCAACTCAAGCGTTGAATCAATTCGAACGGAGGCAATCTCTGTCTGAAGAGATGTATTTTGGAATAGTATTTGAATGAAGGTGTATGTGGATGTAATTATGGTTGGTGTAGTGTCACACCGTTTTCGCAGCCTTGAATACTGTTATCATTTCTGTCCACGCATGAAATAGACTTTATCCTTATTTCAAGAGTTTGGTTACGGTGCCTTCTGGACACAAGGTCAAGGATAGGAGCAGATGTGGGTTCAGACCACTATCTAGTAGAAGGGACTTTCAAGGTGAAACTAAAAGCCTCGAGGATAGCTGGGATAGGCCACAATGCAAGTTCAACACTCAATTACTGAAGGACACAACCACAAAAGACACCTTCACTGCAACTGTCAGAGCAAAGCAGGAAACACTACGCGACATCACTGAAGAATCATGCGTGGAAGAACATTGGAAGTCTCTGAAGGCGATTCTCAACGAAACGTGTTCAACGGTTCTAGGAAGAAAGAAGAGACAAGACAAGGAATGGCTCTCAACGGACACTTGGAAATTAATAGAAGAGAGGAGAATGGTGAAAGAGAAAATGATTCAATGCAAGGACGGACAGGAGAAGGAGACGCTGAGCTCAACTTACACATCACTGGACAAAGAAGTGAAGAAGAGTGCTAGGAAGGACAAAAGACGATTCTACGACAACCTCGCCACTGAAGCTGAGAAGGCAGCAGGCAAAAGGGACCTGAGGACACTATATCAGATAACCAAATCTCTATCCGGGAAGAGACCAACACAAGCGAAACCTATAAAAGACAGCCAAGGGAAGCCCATTACCAAGGAAGAAAAACAGATTAAACAATGGGCGGATCACTTCAAAGGACTCTTGAACCGACCACCACCTGCAACCCGTCCAGAAATACCAACAACAGCGCGCACACAACTGCAAGTTGACACCAATCCTCCAACGAGAGCTGAAGTCTTGAATGCAATCAAACTTCTGAAAGCTGGAAAAACAGCCGGACCAGATGGAATACCCCCTGAAGCACTGAAAGCAGACCCAGAGACGACAGCAGACATGCTGACTCCATTATTGCAAAAGGTCTGGAAGGAGGGAAAGGTGCCTACTGACTGGAGGAAAGGTTACCTCGTGAAACTACCAAAGAAGGGCGACTTACGCCTCACTCTGCAAGAACTGGCGAGGAATCATGCTCCTATCGACGCCAAGTAAAATCCTGAGTCGCATCATCCTGGAGAGATTAAAGGACGCACTGGAGACAGAACTCCGACCAGAACAAGCTGGATTCAGGAAAGGCAAATCATGTACTGACCAAATTGCAACTCTACGCATCATCATCGAACAAAGCATGGAATGGCAATCAAACCTCTACCTCAACTTTATAGACTTTGAGAAGGCCTTCGACAGCGTTGATCGTGAAGTAATTTGGAAATTACTCGAGTACTATGGCGTACCCCAAATATTCATCAACCTTATTCAACAGCTGTACGACAACGGCACCTGCCAAGTGATCCACAACGGAAGACTCAGCGAGGCGTTTGGAGTAAACACAGGAGTCAGACAAGGGTGCTTACTATCACCAATGATATTCCTAATTGTGGTGGATGACTGGATTATGCGTCAGACTGTGGGAAACGAGAAGACAGGAATATCCTGGACCGACGTGAAGAACCTAGAAGACCTGGATTTCGCGCGTGGATGATTTATGTTTGATGTCACACACAATCGAAGACTTACAAGCGAAAACCGACAAACTGGTCGAAGAAGCAGGCGGCGAAGACAGGACTCCAGGTAAACATAGACAAGACGGAGGTTATGAAAATAACCAACCAACAACAACAGCAGCATCAGCAACATTCGACGTCAATCACCATCAACGGGAGGGATTTGAAAGAGGTTACTTCATTCACTTATCTAGGGAGCATTGTCTCAACTACAGGAGGAGCGGACGAGGATGTCAAATCGAGAATCGGGAAGGCGAGAAACACATTCATCAGCCTGAAATCAATCTGGAAATCTTCGTCACTCAGCATCACCAACAAAATTCGGATTTTCAATACAAACGTAAAGTCAGTTCTTCTATACGGATCAGAAACTTGGCGGGTCACAAAGAATATTTCCAAAAGGCTGCAGACCTTTATTAACAACTGTCTTCGCTCAATACTGAAGATCAGATGGCCGGAAAGAATCACCAACAAGGAATTATGGGAACAAACAAAGCAAGAACCAATCGCCCAACAAATATGCAGGAGAAAGTGGAGATGGATCGGACACTCGCTGAGGAGACCGCTGGGTGACATCGCGCGCCAAGCCCTCGAGTGGAACCCGAAAGGGAAGCGGCGTGTGGGACGTCCAAGGGTGACATGGAGGAGATCGTGTGAAGAGGAGTTGAAAGAATATGGATTAACATGGATGCAGGCGAAAAGTATAGCAGAAGACAGAAGAAAATGGAGAGGTGCAGTTGAAGCCCTATGTTCCACTAGGAACCGAAAGGAGAAAAAATAATAAGAATTACTGGGTTTCGCCTAATCCACCCTGCCTTAGTATAATTCTTCTTTCCCAGAATGTAGGCATCCAAAATTTTGATTAGAACACAAAGTAGCTTGATACCGGTACAGTTATCTCATTGATAAATATCGTCCTCTGGCTGTTTCACACGGCAATTTTGTTTCAATCTACAGGCAAATTAACTTGCATCAAATTCTCTTGTGGCACTGGTGTTAGCATGGCATTGGAAATAACATTATTACGTAGGAAAATCACTAATCGATTAGTGCATGATTCGCTGATGTTGCTCATATTGCATCTCAATTTATCACAAATGTTTGCCTTATTTATCAACAGTCTCAATGTGTTTTACACGTATCAAGATCATTTGAATTTTTCTATAACGCAAATTCATTCATTCCTGCCTGTAAACATTTCCTTCTTATGTTAATTCTGTGTTTTGAATTTAATTCTATAACAAAGGACGTAAGTGTTTGATGTTGTTTGTTGTATTCAAATATTTAATTCGTATGTAATAGCGTTGAAAAGATTTCTAGGATTTCCTAAATCCCCACAACTTACAATGTTTCTCAGACATTTATGTTGCTAAGAAAATATGTAATCTAGAATATGGCTTGACAACGAGTAGGTGGACTCTCAAACTTCATCACTTAGAATTGTAACTTCAAATTGAATGAGATTACTCACTTTGAGTTGCGATGCCTGATAGCACTCAGGGAATACCAGAATATTCAGGGGTGAGTGGGTGACTGGAAATCGCCTTATTGGCAACTCAAGCGTTGAATCAATTCGAACGGAGGCAATCTCTGTCTGAAGAGATGTATTTTGGAATAGTATTTGAATGAAGGTGTATGTGGATGTAATTATGGTTGGTGTAGGGTCACACGCTATTTGTTTTCACGAGACTTTCATTAATTGATGATGTAAGATGTTTTGATGCAGTCTGCATTTAGTCTTGGACCTATGTTTCGTGCACTGTTATCGTTATGCCACTGGAATCGTGGTTACATTGCAAACTTTGCTGATACAATTCAGTCTGTACTGGAGAAAGTAATACACAGCGCTGAATTGTTAGAGGTGTTCAGTATAAAAATTTTATTATTTTTTGCTACAACCTCTTCATAGCATGTTAAGTCGCAATCAAATTTGTCTAAATTTACTGATATGTTGATTGTTTTATTTCAAATGCCCTTCAACAGCGAGTAAGACATTTATTACTTTTCTAATAAAGTCCTTTTATATTCACAATATAATACTGAATCCTATGGAAATCATAGTGTAATAACCAACAAATTTCACTAATATCAACCATGAATCCTTTAGAAAACAGTCGACTAATACTATCTTATTTGGCACCACAATATTCACGATGAGAGCTAGTTTACTATTATATATATGTATATATATATTGTGATTCAATCTCACAGTTTTGACTTTTCAGTTCATTTATTATCGCCTGTGATTCCGCTGAATCGATGAATTACACTCAGTCGTCAAATACGTGAAAATGGTACAGAAAGTGCTGTTATTCACAACTGAATTCATTTTAATCACTAGTGAGATTTTCATTGTCAATTATATATCATTTTTTGCTTGTTTCCATCGGTTTCACTGAGCAGGAAGATTTTATCCGGCGCATATATTATATTGAGGCTATAATTTCTGCTTTGAATATGCTTTATTTGTTGTTTTTTTAATATCTGCACATTTTGGAGAATAACATTCCATATCATCATCTCCATATATACATTCAGGCTTTTATAGTAAGTAGTCATTTATTCTGTGTCTAGCTGTAACTTTACTATTTCTGTTGGGCCGGAACTGAATTACTTGCTCTGCGATAGGATGAACTGAGAATGTTTTCAGTTCGATGTATAAGGATAATTTAGGCCTGTTTGAAAGATATTACACATTAAAACGATGCACATAATTAATTCACTAAGGTGAACTTGTTTGGCTGATCAGGAATGTATTAATTAGCTGTCAAAAATAATCATAAACACCTATCCTTGAAACTGATGGCAAATGGAATGTAATGAAGCAACATGTCTGTTATTCCGAGATTGAGTTTTGTGGCTTGGTAGACAGATATCGGCAAAATACGTCTACCGCGTATTGGAATCACAGTATGTGTATATCTCCAGGTTTTTTCTGCCTTGTCTTCCATATTCCTCTTCTTTGTCTTCCTCTTCTCTAGTTTCACATGTTGTTCTTGAAGCATCAGTCTCCGAATCCATCTATCTGTCATTCAATACTTTTGACTCAGAATCTATATACTTCCTGTAAATCCAGTCAGCAACATCCACCAAATATGAAATGAGATGACATTTCGCTTTATTGTATAATAACGACCACAAAATCTAAGAATATAATACTTACGAACTCCTAATTGGTTGTCGCATGACGTTGCTATCAGCAATTTGTTCATATCCTTAAACTTCCTGTAAATTATCATGAAATTCACGACATCATCAACTAAGAGAGAATAGAGCTTCGTGACAGCGTCATATTCAAGAGAGTTTTGCAGTCAGATATTTCATAAACACTTTCGAAATTGGTCTCGTGTGAGAGAATTATGAATACTGGAATCCTGTGAACGATACGGCCGGTGATATTGCAATATTATCAAACAAATATGACATTTGTTATGAACAGAAAGTAACACTTTCTGTGATTTTCTCCCTCAGTGGTATAGTCACTGTTGCAATAATGTGTTCCTCTCAGATCATCCTAACATTAACACATGGCATTGAGAAAATGAATTGAATTTTCAGCGCAGAACTTTGATCTTCAGTGTAATACATCAAGTTTTCACACTTCATTATCAGCACCTGTAAGATGAGAAAGAAAGTGAATGATAATAAACTTTAGTAACCACAAATTAGTGGGAGATATGATAGTTTAATGGAGAATAATGGGAATTCGTATGTCACTGGATCAAGCGCATAGCGCCCGCCAGCCCTACATGTGGTCTAATTTTCAGTTGTCAGCCGATGCACTCAAAAACCTCGCCTAACCGGTTACAAGTCCAGTAAAGATGCACAGTTGGACATGTGAATAGGAGATTAGTCACGTAAAAATGAAACCCCAGCTATGGAAAATTCAAAGCTTTATCCTGAAGCCCTATGTTCGATTTGGAACCTAAAGGAATAAATTTTAAAAAATAATTGTGCGATATGATGGATCAATGGGGCATGAAACAGTGGGGCTTCTGTGCCCATTGTGGCTTGCGCCATCACCCAAAGTTATCATTGATTGACTCCACTTTTTCAGCCTGGTCACCGCTAACGTATTTGTAACACTACCATACGTCGGCTAACAAGGGAAGCGATAGCACGGCATGTGTAACACAAATGTCAGTCATTCTAACTTGTAGAACTTCCATTACAACCCACCACTACGTCTGACCATACTATACCACCTAATGTGTAGGTGTAGGAGACAGAGTCACGCGAATCTAGTTTTTGTAACAACTACCTTCCGACACCAAGTGTCCAGTCGTAAAGAAGGACAGTGCGAACTGCATACTCAAGAGATGAGGTCAGTTTATAAAATTCCAAAACAGACTTTTGTATCCTAGCTGTGATTTCAATCCAATAGGTCTGAAGCAACCTTCCAGATAGGTGAAGTGGTCAACACAATCAACCACTTCATTCTTAAATTCAGAGTGGGTGCAAGACACATAATATCCTATCTTATCTGACAGGAACTATTAACATATTAAACATATTGTGACTTCCTATCAGTGTGTTGGGAAGAATCCGTTATCAGTATACAGTTCATTCGTGACAAGCAAATCTTTGTGTTATGGATGACTATTAGCGTCACATCCATCGCTACATGGACTAATTAAAATGAAAATGTTGAAGGTGGGCATTCTTGATGGGCAACGATGCTTACAGGTGGATTTTGCATGTTGAACGAGATTAGTTTTGTTTAATGCAAGTTGAACTGCTCTTCTGGGTATTCGTTTAAATGTTTCTATCATCTACACCAGGAAGTAACTAAGAAACTGCTCATCCTTAAAATCATCTCTGAAGTCGTGGACTTTTAATGAAACATTTGCGTTATCAGTGTTTTCAGGAGAATTCTAAGATGAACAGGTTTTTTCCAAGAAAATCGTGTAATGGGAAGCGAATTTGGAGCCTACCGTTTTCCTAAGAGAAGATGGTTTTGATTTTAACATTTTGTCAAAACTTTTA